TATTGTCCTTAAGAAAAATAAATCATGAATAATTTTTGATGAGCTTTCGAGCAATTCTGAATGGATCGCCTAGCTTTGTGAGTAACATCTCTTAAGATTATTCTACAATAGAGTAATAAGCGTAATAAGGGTTGTAGCAATAGTAGTAATAATAATGAATACTGTACAACATCAGTAAATCTACGAAGTAAAGATACGTCGTAACCTTGACTATGGCAATTAGCTTGAACTTTCGACTTCAAGCTGAGCACCGCAGAGCAGCACTCTTATATTTTATAATATATTATACTGTAAAATGCAATGGGAAACTTAAGAGTTATATCTTCATACTTATTTCCGAAAGATAAAAAGAATGCGGCGTGAATACCAACACTCCGATTGGTTGATTTTTTACGGCTTATGTCGTAGTCGTGAAAGATGTAGTCATATCTTGCAACACATTTTATAATCGGTAGTACTAGTTTACAACTGCGCTTTACGACATTTTACCACCACTCATGACTGCATTTATGTTATTGTACAACAGTCTTTAGGATGATTTTCACAAAGTGTCGGTCATAAATTTCTTTCACAAAACAAGACAGTGAACAAAGACTATTAACCTTGAAATGTCTTCGTGTGATTGTTAGGAAAAAAGATGATACTTGGCGGGAAAAACGATGGATAATTAGGAGAATCATGTGTATTATCATTAATCGATGTGTATATTCGATTACACAGTGTGGTACATAAGTTTCGAGACAAAAATCGTATAAAACGGAAAACGTCAGTAAAGTATAATTTTAAATAGTTTTATTCAAAATAGGATCTCTCTCTTTACAATTAATGCATCGTTAATCATTGTATTTTTTCCGACCTTGTAAATGCTTAGAGCATCTGATGATTTTTGCCAAGTGTCAGTCATGAATTTTTTTTACAAAGCAACGCAGTGAACAAAGACCATTATCATCTTGAAGCGATGCCTTTGTGAAGCTGTAAAGAAAAAAAGTAATGCTTGACAGAAAAAAACGATAGATAATCAGCCAAATCAACATAAGTATGTGTACGAGTATATTTAAGTACAAGATTACATAGTATAATTTATAAATTTCGAGACATGAATTATATGAAACAAGAAAACGTTAAAAAATATATTAAACATTTTTTTATTTAAAATAGAATCCTTTACAAATATGAATACACCGCTCGTCAATCTTTGCGTTGAGTATTTCTCTTTTGTAATCTTTAGTAGGTATTTATAGTTTGTCGATCATAGTTATTACAGCGACTTGAATTTCTGGGCACTATTGGGCGATTAACTAAAGACGATTACAAAAGAGGAATACTCAACGTAAAGATTGAAAACGAGAATAAAACGGTGTGATTGCAAGATTCGAAGGATATAGTTAGCTTATTTATAATTTTTGCTTTTTGATTTTGAATAATTTTTAATCACAATTCGTACTTATTTTATATTTACATTTTGCATATGTCATTTGTATTTATTTCACTAAGTACAGCCTTGATCATAAGTATAAAGTATCCTCGTAAATTAACATAAACATCCTATATTTAATGAAAAATAAATTAGAAAATAATTTTATTGAAAAATAATACTTATTTTTATAACAATTTTAATTTTTTGTTAGTTCTTTGGCTTTTATTGCCGTTTTTTTAAATGCAATGGTTAACTTCATGGAAGATGCTTTATATTTATTTAGTTAAGGCTGTAAACATAAATAGTAAAAATAAAATCAAAACATTGTTCTTTATGAAATTAATCAAAAAGTCATAAAATTAAATATTTAACATCAGCATTATTATATAATGTATACATATATTGATCAAGAATATGTATGGGATATAATATATCATTGATAAATACATTACTGTTCAAAAGTATTTGCCCACCGATTTCTGTACGTATCTTTTTTATACCCCTGAATTCTATTCTAATTCTACTATATTTTCTTTAAATATGCAAAATGCAAACTTTTGAATCATCAAATATTATTATTATTAAATCTATTATCTAGAAAATTAGAAAAGAAGATTGAAATTCATCTTTCTTCATCTAAATAAGAAAGATATAGGCAAATACTTTTGAGCGATAGTGATCATAATATTTATACATTTTATAAATTGATACATTTATAAATTGATATAGATGTATATCACTAATATATATTAGTTTCATAAAACTAATAATTTAAACTGAATAATTAGTACAATTACAACGTTGCGTGTTATTAATATCGCATGGTTCTTTCCAACTGGGTTTGGAAGATTCTTGCTTTATTTGTTGTTATTTGTAAATCTTCATTTGAGAATAGACTTCATAATCCATCATTTCATTAAATTTACATTGCATACTATATTATAATTTTTTCCAATAACGGCTAAAAGTTGCTACAGAAAAAATTAAACAGACGATGTTTTTTTAATGTTAATTGAATAATTATTTAATTTTTTTATGTTCTTATATGTTATCTTATCAATTCGTCCCATATTCTTGTATTTATTTTTCTATAGAAAATATGTATCTATTTATCTATAAAAAAATTTTTTATAGTTTTCCAAAAACACAGAAAAAACTTTAACATGTAATTCTAAGTTTACCTTTTAAGATAATAAATTTTATAAATACCCACATTTGGATGTATATATTCGATATATATCGATATATCTTGGATTTTGATATTTATATAAATTTATATCGCGATATCTTCGAACCCTGATTGAGTGTGAAGTAACTTATTTTGAATAAGAAATATTCAATACATTTTTCTGACGTGTACTTTATTTTATAATTTTCGCCTTGCGAAACTTATGGACCGCGCTGTATAAGTCCGCGAGTTCCGGGAACGTCGAGGCGAGATCGACGAAGTACACCGTGGAATCCGGGGATACGCAGGTGTTTGTAGGTGCAGCGATCGATCGATCGGCACCTCGGCGCGGGTACGCGGCACTTACGGCCGCGATACCTTCGGCTTCTCGTTCGACAGGCGTGCTACCACCCGTGTTCCACACGTGTGAAACGTGTCATTTCGCCGGCACACATAATGACGATACGCGTGTAAGTATGCGTGAACCGCGCGCGTAATTCCCGGTTATCAACGCGTCTCATCGCCGCCGCCGCCGCCGCCACCGCTACCGTCGCCGTCGCCGTCGCGGCCCGCAACGTCTGCGAGATCCGCTCGAGTTAATTCTACGGCTGCCAATGGAAAAAACGAACGTGGAATGTCGCACGGTGGCTAAATTTAATGCCACGGGAGAACGCGCGCGATGATGCTTTAAACCTAATACGTAATATGTTTCGCTTCTTTCAGACACGATCAGGAGGGAGTTGCCTCGATAATAAGGAACTTATCTGAGCCGACTGAATGATTGATCATCAACGTCGCGTAGCAATATTGGACGTGTATCATTGATGCGTTATTGAACGCTTTATTGGAAAGTAATAGACAGGCACGTTCCATTATTAAACATGCTCGAGGAAATATGTAGAATATGCTAACGTTTCTTTTCCAATGTGATTAAATGTTGCTCTTTAAATTTTAAAACCGATTCGCTTATTGTTTTAACCTTACATTTTTCTATATGCCGCAGGCATATATATGCTTCTAATCTTGCACTCCGATATTACGCCAAATTAATTGCAGAGATTTATGATTACTTATGCTATATGCTATATTATTTAAATATGTTGCTTTTGTGATATTTTTCGATTGGTACAATTCTTCTGTTTAACATGAAACCAATATATTAAAAGATTTATGTATATATATTTTTTTCTATTTTACATATCCTAAGAGTAGGAATTCGATCAATCATCATATTATATATTTTATAACAACACTCAGAGAAAGAAGTACAGTGATAACAACTATAAAAGTGTGACAAGATGTAACATACTTATATAATTAAATGAATTTTTTATAGTTATTTCGACTATAAAAAATTTATTTAATTATATACATTAGTTTATTTAATTATGTACATTAATTCTACATATAAAATTTGTAATATGTAATTGCTACTTTTAGGTAGTTGCCATTATGCTTTCTATATTGAAGGAAGCCTGAATTAAATAAAAACTGGTCTCGCTGTACATTTGTTAATCTTAAATTAACAAATTAAAATTGTACTTTTTAAATTTAACATCAATTATTTTGTTTATTTTTAATTTTCATGCACCTTGTATTACAATAACGAGCAGGGCATTTATTTTATAGTGTTAAATCTATATATGTATATATATATATATATATATATTAAAAGAGAAAAATAATTGATTAATTTAATCTTTTACATTGAAAAGTTATGGGAAATCTCAGAAAATGCATCGTTATAGCTAAATATGATACAAAATTACAAATAAGTCATTTTGGCTGATTTAATAGTTCTATATAGTGTTAAGAATGTTATGTACTAACTATATCTCTCTCTTTTCTGTTTATTTTAAAAATTATAGTTATTACTTTATTCGCCTCAATAATATACGCGGCAATTTTTCAGATTATTTTGAATGACTCGATAGTCAAAAGAATGATTAATTATTATGTTCTCTGTTCATTTGATTTATTTTAAAGAAGGTTGGTAATCGACATAGATTACTTAAAAAAAGTGTTGCAATTATTTGATCATTGCCCGTTATAATTCAAATACTTATTTGTAAGATTTATCAATATCGCATGAATATAGCTACATCAATACCAATGCTATAAAATCGTATTCATTATTATCCCCTTCTAAAATTCTACTTGCTTCGCAGAAACCCTTGTGCGAGCGATTAGCCAGACGAGAAGATACGAGAAGTTCTCTACCCCACCGTCCCCACCAGCTGCTCAGTAGCGTTTGCCCGCGCCGAGAGGCGCGTCACGCATTCAGACGAGTACGCATGCGTTTGGCGAAAGAGCAGAGAGAGTGGGAACGTCGACCAATGAGTGTTTGGCGAGCGGTGGGTGCCCGGGCGGAGCGTACGGCATAAACGAGACGCGGCACAAGCGGATTCTGCCACACGACGTCCGACAGCCGAGGGAAGACGTACGTCGTGCTATCTAAGCAGATCAAGAGGTGATCCTTGTCAGAAGTCCAGCATTTCCCGTAGTGAGAGTGTTCTCAGTGACAGTTGATCGTTCTTGAACTTTCCTCGGCAACGAGTCGTGCGTGATCTGCCGCCCGACATGGAAACGCAAAGCGAGAAACGAAGGGCGCAGCGCGAGTTTTGAAGAAATCTCTGGAAGGCAGATAGAAAAGTAGGTGACGATGCTTCACGGCGCTCTGCCGCGGGCCTTTCTGGCCCCGGGTCTCAACTACATGAGCTATTACAGCGAAGAGATTCATCCTACTTACGCTGCGCCGCCGACCACGTGGCATATTCCGATGGAGGACCCGTCCTCGCCGATTTATTCGCGGATCCCACCAGCCGATCATCATCATCACGCATCATTGTCATGGGAGTCCTCAAGGTCTTCGACGCCGTGTCCATTGGACTTGTCCTTGAAGCCACCACCGACGCCGAATACCCCGAAGACGGAAGAGATGATCGAAGTGGGCGACGAAAAGGATCTCAGGATCCGCGAGGAAGTCCAGGCTCGTCCCGAAGATCGTCGAGACAGCGAAGAGGATCAACAGCTGGTTGTGGACGACCTGGACACCGTACGAAGCTCTTCGGCGCAGAGTCATCAGAGCCATTACGAACGACTGATACTTAATAAAGAATCGCCTCGCTTCCACGACTCGATTGTTGATAAGCTCCATCATCTTCCCGAAGAGAGTACTCGATTACCGCCGTATCCCGGAAGTGAGCTCGCCTCAAAGTATCACTTGCACAGTCAGAAGCTCCTCTTGGCAAGTCCGACGCACTTACAATCGATGCAGGGCTATCATCAGCAGTTACTTTTGACACCACAGCAACATCTTCAGAGTGTACACGCACCTATGACTCCGCCTAGCACACCGTCACCGCCTCAATGTCCCAGAAGACGAGTCCGGGAGGAAGATCTGGTATCACCGTCCTCGGGACCACCCGGCAGCAGCGCCTCCTTGTCGACTCCGAAGCAGACCAGCAATGAGAAGTCCGCCGCTCAGAGACCGAAGAAGAAACACGCCAGGCGGCTCAAATTCGATGAGGATACAAGCAGCCCGGTTTCGGGCACTGTCATCCTGGGTCCAGACGAGGCAGTGGTAACCGGTGACATTGATCCCGCATTTAATATCGTCGAGGTCACGGAGGAGGCGCGCGCCGAGCTGGCTAAGATCGAAAATCGGCTCGGACCGTATCAGTGCAAGCTCTGCCGGCAGCTTCACGAGGACGCCTTCCAGCTGGCGCAACACCGTTGCTCTCGAATCGCTCATGTGGAGTATCGTTGTCCCGAGTGCGACAAGCGGTTCTCTTGCCCGGCCAATTTGGCGTCCCATCGACGTTGGCATAAACCCAGACTACCCAATGCCGACAGTTCCGCGACGTCGTCGTCCACGTCATCGTCAGGGAACAACGCTGAGATCCCGTGCACCAGGTGTGAGGCCAAGTTCACGCGGCAAGCTGCCCTACGTAAACATCTCGCCACTCAACACCCTGAAACCAACAACAACGTCAGCAACAGCAATAACAATAACACTGGGGTCGATGGCCAGGAAACCATCGGCAAGCCAGACATCGCCCAGACAATCCCGACAAGCCAGCTGACCAGCGAGATGACTTGACACCAATTTCCGGCAAGACCCCTGCCGAGACGACCCGGGCTCTACTGGAGATTCGGCCTCGATCTGTAAGAAGCGATGACATTTTTTCATTCATTCAACTGATTCGGTGATTTTTGTAACGAGTATACAATCAAAATGCTCAGTACGCTCTTTCTAGAATATATTCTATATGTAGAGAAGATCATTAATTAACTTAAGGGTTCCTCTACATATAATAAGGGAAGAAAAAGAAAAGAAAAAAAGCATATGAAAGAGTAGGAGCATTATTGTTATTGTTATTAAGAAGGGACACTTAATATGTACTTATTATTACAGTTTATTTTATCTTGTTATTGTTTAATTTATTGTATTCATTTTTGTTTTGTTTTATTTTATTATAATTGCTTTATTTTGTTTTATATTTCTTTATTTTATTTATTTTATTAACAAAATAATTAATAAAATTGCTTTGGAGCATTATAAGATTGGAAATAGCTTTAAATTAAATGATTGAAAAATCAAGTGTCTCTTCAATATGTAATCTACGTAGTAATTTCTAATTATATTATGTAGTACTTCTAGTCTTTATATGTACAAAAATAATACCATTTCTAGTCCTTGCATGTACAAAGACGATAAGAAAAAGAGTAATTCGAAAGGAGCTAGTAATACCAAAGCTAAAAAAAAACAATTCTTAAAAAATTAAAAAATCAAAAATTTTTCGGATTAAATCTAAAGAAAGAAGTAATTGACCATATCTTCTACTGTTGTCTCCTTGTGAAGATCTATCTTTCCGCAACTTTCAAGGGGATAATATGCAGTACAGTTAATCACTTTTTTCTTTTAGACTTAGTTTAGCGAGATTTTTGAGAGCACACGTTAAATATAATCTTATTTCCTAAAGGTGGCTCCAGACTGATCTAATAAATATGAACAATCACGAACGAATATTTACGACAATCATAAATGAGTGTAACGAACGTTTTTCCATTAATTAAAAATAACGGAATGTATTTATCGTAATATTTGATGAATTTTTCACATTTACGGCACCATTCACATTCATTGAAGTAAATTGATTCGTTCGTGTTTGTTCGCGCTTTTTGCTTGATCCGGAGCCACGCTTACCTTAAGAGATTGTTATTAAATTTCAATCGTAACCGGGAAAAACAGGGTTGCGCATCTCCGTTGTCCGAATCAAATATAAATTTGCATGTATGTGTCATATCTATAGTTGATGGAAAAAATTAAAAAAAAGTAAATTATTGCTTATAAAAAAAATTCTTCATTTTTTCTTCATTTCATTCTAAATCTTGGCATCACTCTGATGAGCACCATTTATAATTTCAAAATTACACAGTTTTAAATATTTAGTAGGATATTTAAAACTGTGTAATTTTGAAATTATAAATGGCGATCAATTGTTAGAAGTGTGTCAAACACAAGCGTTGCATTTTATGGTTGGAATTAGCTGATATGCATGATAATGTAGTCCAGTCGTAGACTGGATTTTATGCACTATTGCCAAAGAAATATATAATAATTGTAGAATCCGAAAATTTCTAGTCCTCTCCAGAGTTATTTAAATAATTAATTCTAGTCATAGACTATAATTATTATAGAAAGAAAGTTTTATAGAAAGATTAAAACACAAATCCTTAAAGAATAAAAAAGGGTAAATTTAAATTCATCTACTTTTACTTATATGTATGTTCATTTATAGAAAAATAAGAAAACATATGTGGATACATATTAACGTCATGTAATTAGAAGTTTTAGCGAGCCGGAATATATTCTTTGTACATTTCTGTAAAATTTTATCGACGTTAATCGCGAGCGCGCGATAGACAGGAACTAGCTTTCGTGTGATGTAAATATGTATAATATAAAGCATACGCGATGTATATACATCCAGCGAGACATGATTAGGCTTAATGTAAATCAGTATTCGGCATTAGAGAAATAGTTACGGGCCGATTTCTGAGGCGACGCCTACTATCACTCGACTTTAGCGAAGTAGCGTCAATTATGATCGAGAATCTCAGCTCGACAGCCGAGTCGCCGATTGCGTGTGTAACGCTGTGCCTCATTGTCAGAAGCGTGCTCATATCATAAATGCTGGGATCGTATTTTTCGACAAATCGTCATTAAACATCTTTCTTTCTAAATAATTTTTATTTTTATAAATAATTAAATATTTAAATTTTCTATTAATATTACAATAATATTATAATAATGATAATTAGAAGTTTGACAACAGTTTTCCATATTATTCATATTACTGTAAATGCATTTTAAATGGTTTCTTCAGTTTAAGTGGTTTCTATTTCTAAAAATGAAGAAGATAATAAAATATATAGTTCAGCAGGAAAGCAAAATTCTATAGCGGAAGTTTTACACGCGATATATATGTAAGTTAGGCGTCGTCTCAGAGATCGGCATATAATGCCGAATACTAGACTAAGTGATAGACAGTAGATATCTGATCTCAATTTGTCTGGCGTTAAGCTGAAGGACAGATTTATTCGCGTTTAGATTTATTTGCTCTTTAAATGGAGAAGTTAATTTCAGAACATTTAATTTTCTTTTATATTTCCATATAATTTATTTATTCTTTCATAATTCCATTATAATAATTATAATTCCATAATAATAATTATGGTTATATAGATTTGTATGATAAAGTTATAATTATATTTTTTGTACATAGTTATTATTTTAAAGAATATAATTTTATTACTTGTCATTTATATAATTATTGTATTGGTAGCAGTTGTGATTACGTTCAGTTTCCGATTTTTTAAAATTACACATTGGATTATTATAATCAAGTTCTCTTTCCTGATCTAATTTTATCTTCTGACTAGTGATAAATTTAGAACAACTTGTTCTTGAATGTATTGAGGCATTAATAATTTAATCTTGTATATAGCACATTGATCTTAGAGATCATTCATACAGCTAATTATAAGACAACCAAAGATACGGCATTTGAGATATCTATACAAAGTCCTTGCAGTTTTAAAACTTTCATAGCTTCCGTTTTATATATATCAAAATTAATTTGTAAAAAGAAAAAATAAGAAAACAAAATTATTTTTTTCATACATTTATTTTTAAGATTATTATTTCTTAAATTGCCATTATTCATACAAACTGAGATCTGAATTTGATTGTTGTTTTGTTTGAGTTTACATTGTCTTACTTTATACAATTTTACTTTATTAATAATTTTGTTACTATAATTATATAATATTGAGTCTTATTTTTAGAATTTTTTTTCCATATATAACAATGCAAAGTATAAATAAAGATTAAAACAAAATATAAGTAAAAAAAAATACAATAAAAATATGTAAATTAGAAGTTGAAGTTGAAGAAGTTTTGCACGGAATAGTAAAAGAAAATGTGTTTGGCAATGGATTTACAAAGCAGTAAAAAAAAAAATAAGTTTTTTTAGATTTGCATTAATATTTCTAGAAAAAAGTGTAACGAATTCGAACCTGATGAACATGATGGTCAAGGGATTCATACGTCAAGAAAAGTTTCATAGATAGATTAAAATATATTTGTGTTTAGTATCCATAATACTTGGTTTTTTAATGAATATTCAGAAAGAATGACATTATGCTGACATTAATAACAATCCAGATCAATATTAATTTAAGTATAATAAATTAGATAACAGTAATATTTATACCTTACAATTCCGCGAAGAAAGAATTTTTTGGAACTTTCGTATTTTTATAGTGTGAATCAATTTTAAACCACTCTCCATAAGTCAACATAATTTCACTTTATATTATTTGTCAGCATGTCAGTTATCAAGTATATTTAGTCGTGTCATAAATTTTATCACTAATTGTACTACATATTAAACTATATTAAAATATACTATACATATATCAAACTTAAATTGAAAGGTTAATGATTTTTTTTACAGATTAATCATATATAAAGGAAATTATGAAAGTTTAAGGCTGCATAAGAGCTTTATGAAATCTCTCAGTCTATACATATAGGTCTCTTATTAGGGATTAGGTTTATTTTTAGATTGGTTTTTCTTTTATTTATTTTTGCAAATGTCAACAATGAATGCTTTGGAACAATTTATTCTTAAATTTTTGTATTGAACTGGTATATAAATGCGATGTAAATGAAACTATATATAACTAAACATAATATATATATAAAATACAAATATTCGAACAATTGACGATTAAATGATGTTTCACACACACACACACACACACACACACACGATTCAGGGCGCGCGTGCGCGTAGGTATGAATGTACATCTATACATAACGCGAAAGATAAAAAAAAACTTTTTCTTTCTTTTATAGTAAGACCTGTAAAAATATCACTTTGTGAGATAGAGAATAATTCTTCTCTAACAAAATTCACTTCTTGAATAGAATTTTGAGATTTATTATTTACAATTTAATCCTAGAATCGATTGAATTATGTGAAAATCGTAATTCACAACACTTCTTCGGAGAGTTTTTTTATATCTACGCTTTTGTTTATCATATGCGCGCGCGCGTACGGTCCAAGACCTTGAATGCACAACGAATGTTGATGTATTGCAACTTCTCAAAAATTTGAAAAATTACAAGTAATACTTTTTTATAGGCACAGTTTCTACATAATCACATTTTTGTGTTTTGTACCATGACAAGTCATGGTCATATCAAAATAACAATCGATAAACCATAGTTTTAAATACATGTGACACGTGTCTTAATTTATTGTCTTTGTAAATATTTTTACAGATTTTTATTGTGAAATAATTTGAGCTAAATATAATAATGAGTATACATGTATATGTATACATAGCACTTATACTCACTCCGTCGTGTTCTAGAATGAACTAATTGAGCTTCGCAATTATTGTATAAAAATCCCGATAACATAGAACAACTTCACTCGGTCCTTATTAAAAGAAAAATATGAAAATAAACGACTGTTAACTAATAATCACGGCATCATTGTGTTCTCTGATGACCATTAATTTCGAATTTGCATATGGCCCCAACAAATTATTCAATTGACATCTTGAAATACTTCTGTGAAATACTTTGGAATGACTGGCTAGTCTTTATTACAGTGCAGCGATTCGATACTCAATCGAAAAGGGATTAGAAGATTTCTATAGGTGCATCTACCGATTCCCCGTGTATTGTTAAATGGAAAACATGCGCCTCGATTTTTTCTCGCTGGCAGTTCGATCTATCTAAATTGATTCGGCGCGGGCATAACAATATACTTAGGCTGGGATGTCCAGGAGTATGGACACTCCACGCGAGTAATGAAGGGTTAAACATTATTGATAGTGATAATTAAATGTTGCGACTATAATTATAAGAGCAAAGCCCTGCTAGAGACCGT